ACACACAAAAGTTTGCTGTTTGCCTTCATTCCACCAAATCCTTGACAGCCGCGCTATAGCCCGTCACTATTCACACCATTGTGCTGTCACAACAACTAAACACATCATTTGTGTTGCAGAAACTCATCCTGTATGTATCAAATACCAAATGTTTGGCGACTGAGAGAGGCAATGGTGGGGGGCTGCATAATTTGCTAGGAAACATTTTACCGAACATTTGGTGATAAAAACGCCGGCGTCAGCCCCGAGGCTTAAAGCAATTAATTCAGGATCCTGACATAAACTCTCCAATCCTTTGACAGCTTGGAGCTGAAATAAAAATGCTAGTTCTCCTGGGAACGGCAGGAGATAGCTGGCTCTTTTCTGGACTGTTTGCTCACTGGCCCTGAGAGCAATCTTCCCCAGTCAGAATGAAATGCAAGGACACAAACAATGTACCGGCGAGAGAATGGGAGATGGGGAATGAACAGTTTGGACTATTTGCTCAGCAGAAGGGCAGCCACAATGGCCGGCCCATGGCTTTCCCATGCATCAAGCCTCTTAGTCTTGGGCCTCCCTTTGTTGCCTGGTTTCTTCTTCCCCGGCCAGATAAGAGCCCAGCTGCCCTATACTTTTAATTCCCATTGTACGCCATACTGTATGGTCATTTATCTGTGCACATTCTGCCTGCCATGATGGTGTTGTCTAATTGAACGGGTTATCGCGCGTGTATATCTCTTCACCTTAGCATGTGTACTCGTTTAAGGGTTGAATCACTCTCACTTTGCCATAAAAGGCAGGGTGGCGGCAGGGGAGGGGGGGATAACGGCTGACCCCTCTTCTCTTCTTGGAGGAGGCAGCACAAGTCAAGCACATAGTGTGATAACGATACGTGAGGGGATTTTGCATCAGCCTGAATTTTCATTTATTGCTGTCAAATGTTTTTTATTCAAGCACATTGACATAAATGCATATGTACAAGCACATATATCCAAACAAATGTACATGCAATTTGATTGCAATATGGTCGGTTTGGTTTTCTTTGAACATTTGTATAACAGTAACAATAAAAAATATTAAAAACTATATACATATAATAAAATACAAATGACATAAAAAAGAAATTACATTAAACAACCTTTCCTAACCTATCATCTCTAATCCCTGACCCCCTCCCCATCCCTGCACTTCCATCAGTTCACTACTTTGCTGATATAAAGGGGAGAATGCTTTAGGTCACAGGTGTAAGACAATGAGTAAGAGGTGACCAAACTGAGTCAAAATACAAAAACTTGTCCAGTTTCTCTTCTCTAAATGGAGTGCTGAATTTTCATTGGGTAGTTTGGAAAAAATAATAATGAGATAGACGTCATGTGTGAGAAACATCTAAGTGAGGTGATCCATTTCTAGAACCTGACAAAGATGTACTTTTTCAGCCAAAGGCAGAAAGCTTCCGAGGGCTCTTGAGGGAGGAATGGGATGTGGTCATTATATGACCTAATGGCAACTCCAGCCAGAAGAGAGGGCAAACAGAGCAAGTGTAGTGGCTCCGGGTGAGAGAAGGATCCATATTGTGCTCTTTTGTTTTGGTTTGTTGGTTTGTGTTTGCATTTACATTGACCAGTTCTCTGCTGAATGTGTATTCACACTCAATACATGTTATGTTGTCTGCGTGGCAGGAAATGGAAGTAGCGTGCTTCTCCGTTGAAGTCTGCAGGGAATAAAATAACAATAGCAAATGTATCTGCAACAAACAAACAAACAAATAAAAACACAAAAGAGGAGCAGCGGGATGTCACAGGACGACCAATACACATAAAATGAGGGAGCATATTCATGCATGTGAGCAGACACTTGCCTAAACACAAACACACACACACACGCCCATCCCCCTCTGTAAAGGTTGTGGTGTCAGGGACCCCCTGGGTGGTCAGACTGAGGATGATTTCTACACAATATGATGTTGTGAAGGAAAACCTTCAAGAAAAGAAGTTCAGTGGCTGTGTTTTTTTTCCTCTGTCACACACACATTTAAATATATATATACACACACATATATACACATATATACATATATATAACCACTTAGACATACACACATTATATATTTAGTTTTTGTTTAAAGTTGTAATGTATTTCAAGGGACATTTTGGGTTACACAGATACAGGGAAACTGTTTTTTTGCCACCAGGGTGAATACACAACCCATGATGATTCCACAATGGTTTATTCTAATGGCTAAGCTCTTAATCTGTCAGATCACATTTCAAAGTGCCAGTAGCTGTGCCAAGACAGGTCCCAGGAAGGAAAACCCTTTTGTTTGGGGCAGAAAATTTTAAATCTAAGAACAGACTTTACTCGCAAGGGCCCTAATCACAAAAAAAGTATGACCCTGTTATGGAAGCAATACCTCAAAGAGCAGCGTCATTAAGAAACATTAAGTGCTTGCTCTCACATCCACCTTTGGTGCACCACCGGCGTTTTGCCAGCATGTCAGACCTCAGGTATGGCAAGATAAATCGCTGTCTTATTTGTGCCTGTGCGAGCCAAGCTCCTTGTGGGGTGGTGCTCTCAGCTTCACGCTCCACCAACGCTGAAATAAAGCTCTGTTCGAGGCATTTCAACACTGCTTAAGGTTGTCCGTGGCCGTGTAATTTATGAGTCGAGAGGACTTCGTTTTTAAGTTCCCTATGACCTGCAATCTTCCAGCATTCATGGGTGGAGAAAAGAGCCGTGTGAGTCATAGGAAACTTACAACACCCTTCCAATTACCTTAAACAATGGCGGTCTGAGTGATACCTGTAGCGCTCTGGTGTGTGGTTCAGTAAATGTGATGTGATGTGACCTAAAGTAATTGGATGTGTAGGCACTTTAACAGGTTAGGTGTTCCGTCACCTGTAGGTCAGTATAAAGCTGGCAGGAGGTGGTTAGAGCTGCTCACTTCATGCCCCATAGCTCTCAGTGGGTGGTCATAAGGACAGACAGAGAGACAGACAGACAGTGAGAATGACATGCTGACTTGTGCTTGCTGGCACTGGTTGCCTCTTTGGCAACCCACGGCAGAAGAAAGGACAGCCTCCTCAAAGGTTGACTGCAATTATGTTTTTTGCTTTTGTATTTGAAATATAGAGTAAAACACCTTTGGCATGTATCTATTCTTTTTATTTAAAGTTGAGATTCTTTAGAAAAATTAGGTATACATTTTGAAAGATAAAAAATAATTAGGTTAATAGTACATTTATTTGTGTGAAAAATAAAAATAACAACACTGAAAGTATCACCCTTTTTTGATAAAAACATTAAATTCTTAATTTATGTGTTTAAAAACAAAACAAAATACTATTCATGATTCATAAGTATTCATGATCAGAAATCATATTTGCTCAACACAGACATCAAATCACTTGCCTTAAAAACACAAAATGTGTTTAAAAAAATAAATAAAAAATCTGGAAATGTGATTTATAGTCACACTGTCTTATATTTACATATCTTGTGTTTGCCCTTTGTTACAATGTGTGGATATATGACTGGATAATTGTGTTTTATTGCTAAGCCATCACATAAAAGGAAATTAAACCACACATTATCAGGTTAGTTTTATCAGTGGATACACATGTTCCTGCATCATGAAATTTACAATCAGAGCAATTATATTTTGTTGACTATTATCAAATAGACAAAAATGTATAAATCTGAATGGGTTTCAAAAAACCTTGGGAAAAATGCAAGCTGTTTTTAAAAAGGTAAATTAATTATAGGAGAAAAATGTAGATGAGTATATTTTATTATATTTTTAAATGAGTATTCAATTGTAAATATATATAAGACAATATGTAATTGTTTTTGAAAAATACATTTTGCTTGGTTGATATTATTGATCAAACAAATAATCAATCATGGAATTTAAAATAAAATTATAAATGTGAAGTTAAACAATAATACAAATTATCTTAGGCTGCATTCAGTTTCACAGGCAAAAACATTAAAGGCTAAAAGAATATGCAAAAAACAAAACAAATTATGAATTCATATAAAATGACTTACTAAAAATGAATGCATATAAATATGTAGATACATCCAAATTCAACTATTGTTATATATTTGAAATAATGATTTATCAATTTACAGACAACGGCAAAAAGCAAATATTAACACTATTATTAAAACACTGAAATGTGTTTTTAAAAATGTGTATTTTTATGATTGACAATTAGCGTACATGAATTGTACTGGCAATGCAAAAGGAGATCTTTATTTTAATAGTTTTTAGCTGAAAATGCTGCTACAATGAGAATACTTTTTTTGTTGTGTGAATATATGATTTTGTAAATATGAATTAGAGAAGTGAATTACAGAAGTGTTATCGACTTCTTCATTTTAGTACCACCATTCATGCTCAAAGTCCACGTTTCATTTTAGTTTTGTGGAACACTTTCAGGGCCCAGCACAGCCAGACTTGGCTATACCATTCACATTACCTCTCTGCCAATGTGTGAATGTCAACACCCTGTAAACACCTTTGACACACATGCTTGAATGCAACGGGCGAGTTAACTAAACATTCCTGGGTGTTCACCATAAAGGTCTACCACTCATCCACCAGTCTGCACTGACCCGTCTCCCACGCTCCGAACCGCACTCATCGAACATCCTGGACTGGATTTTTTTCCCTTTATATATTAAATTTTTTTAAATAATTCTTTATATCTATTATATTTTAGACATACCATACATATGTTAAAAAAAACATTAAAGGATATCAAAATGAAATTGCAGAAATTCACTAGTCCATATATGGCAGTTTTATTCCTTGTATTTGTCTTAAAATGCTATGGAACAATGCTCTATAAAGGATTTGGGAGTATAATTCCAGCCCCGTGCTTATCGCCACACCCAGACTATTTGAGTGTTTTTAGATGCGGGCTCCCTGAGGACGGATCGAAGGCGTCCTAGTAGAACTGCACATCAAATAAATAGGAGGATGGGATTTATATGGAGGCTGTGTCTCTGTCAAACAGGGCTCTGCTGACTGAAGTGATCCCCACGGCCCGAGTGGAAGAGAGGAGGGAGAGGAAGCCTCAGAGGGAAGAGGGATAGCTGCTGAAGAGCTACACTGATGCGCGCGCGCACACACACACACACACACACACACACACACACACACACACACACACACACACACACACACACACACACACACACACACACTCAAATACTCACACAATGTCCCTCTCAGTCCTGGGTTGTGACCGGCCCATGGCATTGGCCAGGTATGTCAACTATGTTTGCCAAGCCATCCATCACCCATGCACCTTCCCTCCTGAAACAGGAACTTTTGTTTGAAGCATACACTTGTTAAGCCCATCCTCTGACTCCGCTTGAGCTAATTTATTTCCTTATAGCAGAGACAGAGGATTTATTTGCACCTATGTTTTGTTCTTTATTTTCCTCTTATTGTAGGCTGCACAGTGCAAACGTGTTGGTAGGAACATAGGCGTGTTGTCACAAAGAGAGATTGCAAGCTATAGTTTGGGGACACCAGTGGCTCTTATCATCGGTGACCAGGGTTGGCAAATAAACACACTGTAGTGAAGTCAAGCTGCATGTAAGGAAAGAAAAGATTTATGACGGCATGACGCTAACACATGATGAAGAGGATATGAAATGTTTTTATTCTGTGGTCTCTGCATTATGTTACAGCAGAATGAATAAGGAATTATATAAATTTCCACATATGATGCTTAACATTTTAAAAAATTGCTCTGCTAATTAAGTTTGGGTTTAAGTTATTTTTTGTGGGCATGTTATCTGATATTGAAAACCATTTCATTATTCGTATATGGCTTATGCATAAAAGAACAAGGAAGTTTTAAACAAACACAGGTATCTAGTATATTTGTTGTTGGAAAGGTGGAGAGGAAAAAGAAGTTTCCATATATTTCAGGAAGTGCTGTATTGATGTTAACACCAACATAAAACTGAGTCATTTTGCTATCGTCGGCCAGCTTGAGAACATGTTGTCCGAGTGAGACTCTGACATGAGAACCACAAACTTCTCAAAAGAAACCCAAGTGTGGGCTGGTATGTTTGCCAAAGCACCTAAGTTGGAGCCTTACTTCATTCTGTGAAACACAGCCTTCATTTATCTTTTGACTTCTACTCAGCAAGAGAGCAGATATCACTAAAAGTGCCATGTTAATGATTGACTCTTGCCGCACCAAGCATCCTGCGTTGAGTGGCCACTTTGGCTGCTCTTGTGCTGCATTTTCAGCCGTAAATGTTTGTGATCCCACTCTCCTCTCCAACTCCCATACAGTATTATTAGCACTGGGGGGTTAGGGCGGGGTCATGACTAACTTTCAATAAAGAACCATTGGCATGCTGAGGTAAATGGGAGATAAGAGTTTGTCTCTGAGGCTTTTAGTGCTTTATAAGAATGTGGCTGTGTAAACCTAATCTCCCCACAAGATAAATTCGGTCCTGCTTTGTGAAGGCAAGTTCATGCATTGCCTTTTTTTCAGCTCTAAAGCCCACTTTGACAGGCATGAAATTAGTCCTGGACTTTTCATTGACAGTTCAAGATGGAGAGCAAACTGAGATTAGGGCATGTTAATTAATTGTGGGGTTGCTAAAGTGGCCTCCCACCCAGTGAAAGACCGTTTATTGCCACCCTGCCGATCAATGACGAAAGTGTAATCATGAATTTGTTGTCCTTATTTTAACTTTTTTTTCCGATAGTGTAGAATTTCTAGTGTAATGAAGCACACTTATTGAGCTGTTATGTCCCACAAGCTTGTATTGATGCTACTTAGCAACTCACTTTGACCAGTTAATTACAATTATTATATTGAAAAATAACATAAAATGACATATAACGTAATGTAAAATTGACCTGAGTTTTCTCCCTATCCTCTACAGATGCACGTGGCTTCATTTGAAGGACACTTTTCCATTGCTGCTTTCTGTCTACTTTCATCACCCTGCATCAAGCGACCTGAAAGCACTTCCCTGTCGATGTACTTGGCTATATCTACGTCTGACCTGTCTGCCATATGTAATATCAAAGCCTCTGTCAGCGTGGAGCTGAATGGGAACAAAAGAGAGGCCTCCATTAATGATTAACTGTTCTAAAAGCCCCGGCTTTTGTATTCCCATGGTGCCCAGGCTATCTGGCCACCATGTGACATGCTCGCAGCATTTTTCGAGCAGATTGGGGGAAAGCTAGTGAGCAAACACAGGTGCTTTGGAGCTGCGTTGCCGACGCTGTCAGGGACAACCACAAACAAGAGCAGCTATGCCTGGCTAAATGAATCCCCACCCCTCCCAACACCATCACCACCTCCACCCCACACCCCCCTCTCTGTCGCTGGCTAACTTGTTTGCTAGCTACCTATAGCGTTTTCCCCGCAAAGCCTTCCTTCTGGAGAGTCCCCATGTCCCCCCCAACGAGTCCAATGTCTGCTACAGCTGCGCTCCACAACTTCTCCCACCCTCCAAAGAAACAAACAAATAAAAGTGAGGACAGCCGACCACTTCTTTGAGGTGATGGCATTTGCTGTGGTCATGACTAGTGGGAGAGCAAACAAATTAATGGTGTTCGAGTTTTCACTTTCCAAACCAAACTAAATGTCTTTTAGTTCAAGTAGGGCAATTCTACTGACCCTGATGTCAAATGCTGTATAAGGATAGCACACTCTTGCACTTGAAATCCAGAGAGGAGGCTGTAAGAAATTAAACAGAGCTTGAGCCTGCATGTATTAGCCTGCATGAACCTGGTGGGTTAAAACAACTTAAAGTGACAAATAAATCTTGAATAAATTGAGTAGGTAATAAAAACTCATGGTTCATTTTTGCTGTTTATGTATTTTGACCACAAACGTTAACAAGAGTTGTCTGGAGCACTTAACCTTTTCATCCGGGCTGACTGAATGTTCAGAGTGACTGAGGAGGGTGCTGTGTCGCTCAACTTTGATAAGACAATCAGATGATAGGATGGCGTTATCTTAACATGGTTTTCCGGCTGGGGGACAAATGAACAGTGTGATAACAGGACAAAAGCTTGACTCTTATTGGCTGGCTCCTCCGAAGAAAGGAAAAATATCAGGATGGAAAATTCACAATAGGCGCAGTTTAGTTCATTTTTAATTTTCGACTTATTCCAGGACACAGGAACAGCTTTTTCCTAATCTTTCAAATATTTAGATTGTCTCTTGTTGGTGTTTTGGTTTCATGGTCTGCAATTACCTGTGCCTATAAAGCAGTTATTATCACTGGAAAGATAATAAAAAATGTTTTAAAACAAACTATTTAAATCAACAGGACAGGAAATTAAGTTGTATAAGTGAGAGAGCCAGACGCAGAAAAAGAGAGGCTGACAGTACGTAAGAGAGTATATATATTATATTAATACATATGTATATATACACATATATATGTATATATATAATAGAAGGATAGAAAAAAGGTGTGTGTGAGAGAGAGATGGAAAAGATGGAGAAAGAAGAAGGTCAAAAGTTGTTTCTTCAGAGACCTGCAGCTGATCACTATACGCCACTTCAGTCTGGGTTTTCTGACTTTTACAGCCCAATTCTCAGAGTCAGAGAGAGGTGTGTATACTCAAGGATTCACTCAGGGCTTTGTTTGCTCTATTGCCAAAAAATGATTGGAAAAAATATTGGTGCCCTGGCACGAAATGTGAGATGTTTCTTATAAATAAAAAACCCTTGCAACTGTGTAGAAATTGCATGAATAAAATATCTATTTTAAAGAGAAGGTGTCGTGTTATTTGAAAGATTTTCATGATTTTACATTCATTTGAATGTACAGTACTCCAATTTGTAAAAATGAGCATATTCTAAATTTTAATTTAACCTCCTCAAACCTTTCAGGGACTATCAGACAGGGTTTAAATGGGCAGGAATGGATTCGGAGAAGCTCATCTCACCCCTTGTTCTGTTGCAGGTTCTCTGCGGGGATTTAGCCTCCGCTGGTCGTGAGCTGAGTCTGATCAGAGGAGTTACAAATCCTCACTTTTAGGAGTCTTACTGTAATTCACAGGCCTGTTGGCCGCAGTAAAGCGGTGGGGGCCCAAAATCTCGAGAGGGATTTGAGACAACATCTTTGTTGCCTTCTCATTGTGTTACGGTGAAAGTCGTCCAGCCCCATTGTCTGACCAAACTCCGCTCAGACCTCGGCTCAATCAAAGAAAAGTTTTCCAGTAATGAGGTAAGACATGAAAGCTCATTGAACACAGCGACATGTTGAAAGGGCCTTTTGATCTTGCCAGGCACAATGGTAAAATTTGAAAAGAGCAAAGTGTGCTCTAAGCAGCAATGCACTGCATTAACCCTGTCTTTTGACAGGCCCACACCTAGAAAAAAGTAATATTCCGCTCAGTGGAAAATGTAGTTCATGAGTAATGGCCTCCATGAGGGGAGGGGACCTTTGTGCTAATTCTACCTGTTTACTTCAAACATTTTCTGATCAAGAAACAGATTGAGCTGGCCTGTCTTCAAAGCTTTGCCATAGAAACATTTTCTTGGTATGCTCTTTCAAGTATTGACTTATATCTTTTACTTATTTCTTAACATATCAAGATTTTTTTACTGGTTATAGTGCATTAAAAGGGATTAAACCATCATGACAGCCTACCAAGTAGGATAGCGATGAGTCAAGTCTTCAAAATTTGTCAAATTTGATCACAGATTCAAGAGAATGGTTCTTCAAAGTGTCCCTTCTTGTTTTATGAAGAGTGATAAAAACTTAATGGCAGTGTGCTGGAGCTAACAGATTGCCCAGTAGCCAGCTATGTCGGTCACGGGTCAGTGCAGGGACGACTCTGTCCCCAGACTCAGTTAGCTAAGCGGGACTATTTCTGCCTCTATCTCTGCCCATCTATAGTCTGTCAACTCCCCCTGAGAAAGCTAATAAAATATACCTGTCTCCTACCCTGAGAGGCTGGTTTATAGTAGAGAGTGGGCATCTATTAACTTCTGTAGGTAAATTGAATTATACACCAAAGGCTTTAAAAAAAATCTTCACGTTTAGAGACTATAAAGCTTGCTTGCAGTGATTTTGAGTCCTTTTGCCAGACAACAGCTGTAGGTAGTACCTTCATGAAACAACATTATCTTCTTATGGTATGATCGGATGAAAGAAAACAAAGAGCAGGTGTTGCTTGTCTTAAAAAAAAGATGCATATATTCAAAAACCTTCAACAACGTTCTCGGCCTTCGCCCCCCCCAAAACCACATGCACAAACACACACTCTCTCTGACGCCTGCTGGCCTAGCCTGCTAGCGTGTATTCATTTTCCACATGGAGTTATAAGACAAAGGTGGCCCACTCCGGTAATGGAGCGACTCAGAGCACAATCTGCTCAGGTGGAAGACCTCTGGGCTGCCATCTTCACGCCTGAACTGCAGTCAATGACAGACATACAGCCTGACTCCTCTCTCACAGCATAAACCCACATCGACCAAACTGCCAGAAGCTTCTCGCTGCTGTTCCAATAACCTTCTATTCACCAAATTGTCTCTATGCCTCTTTTATGAATACAGCCTGTGTCTCTCGTGTTCAATTACCTGAGTCAATATGGATGTATTGAACCCCAACATATGAGTCAAATAATAAAGTGTATATACAAGAGCAGGGATGTTATGGCCATCTCAGAGCTGCAGTGAAAATTACACTGGTGATTTGCAGCCCAGGAAGTAAACAAAGTGGTAATATATGAGGGTAATAACACTCAAATATGGTTCCAATGCGGAGAGCATCTGGGCAGTGATTTTGCTTTTCACCAGTTTGACAAGAAGATGCGTTGATGTACTTCAGATCACAGCATCTTGTAAATGGACAATTTAAATTATGCGATAAAGTAAAAGTCTATATTCCACAATAATGCCTGTGTGAATGGGTTCATATGAGACCATGTGTGCATTGCGTGTATGAGACAGCTGCTGCTTTTTGGCACACACACACACACACACACCACACACACACACACACACACACACACACACACACACACACACACACACACACACACACACACTCAGGTAGCAGCTGGGCAGGCTCACCTGTCATATTAATAAAACAAGACAATCCCTTCCATCAGCAGCGCAGCAGAAGCAGAGGCTGAAGCAGACAGAAAGACGGAACAAAAGAGCAATGAGGTGGAGAGACGCGGGGGAGAAAATGAGAAGGATGGGACGTGGAGTTGGTAACACTTTCTATGAAGCCCATACCCACAGTATGGTATAGACACCGATTTTAGAAGATTTGCTGTAACTTTTCATAATGTATTAACAAGTCTTTTTTGAAAAAGACCAGTATCAACACCTGGTTTGATGGTTGTATCCTGCTCTGTCTGTAAGATAGCAATACAGCCTTAATATTCAGACACTTAAACCCTAGAGAAATTCATGCAAAATGGATAAAATAATTATGGGATTTGTGATATTTATTATTATTAGTAATACCAAGTTTAACATCTTAAGACTGGAGGGGACATACCAATATAACAGTTATAAATGATTATAGCAACACCTACAATGCATTTTTATAAGTAATGGTATATTATGTAGATAAACATAACAGTTTGACAGCACAAATAGCATTTTCTTTTATTACAGACAACAATAACTAACCAGGATTCTAAAAGGGATTTGTTTCAAACAGTGGACAACAAGCCAGGTCACTGTACGTGGGGGGCCACACAAAATGAAATTCATCCTCAACAACATCAAGATCACAGAAAAACACAAGTGTCCTACACACCACACACCAGTTCCTAAATGAGCACACAAGGGCCTCCAAGGATAAGGACCTATCTTCTCTGTAAATTATAAGGTATACATGGATGTCATTTATAACCTTTGGGTTGTGCAAAATCTTTTTCTTGGGGGGGTGGGGGGGATCGCTGGGCAATAAGACAAGATGATTGGCTGTGGATGATAGAGTGATGACAATACTGATAAGATAAGGCAGCCCTTTGGAGACTTTCTGATTGTGTGTGCCTCTTCATCTTCCTTCTGGTCTGTTTCTGTGTCTGTCTTTGTGAGCGTGCGCTGATGTGAGGGTGCATGTTGCTGCTTGCTTGTGTGTGTTCTCTTGGCATCAGAAAAGGCCTTGGATGGAGCAAAGAGAGGGCCCAGGGGAGAAGGGAAAAGACAGAGAGGGAGAGAGGCGGCGGAACAATAAGGGGTGGTGGAAAATGACAAGCCCGGTAAAGGAGAGCTTCCTGAAAGCACCACATCTAACAGAGGAGGTTGCACCGTACAGACGAGACCATCCTCCTCCTCCTCTTCCATTAACCCCTGGAGTACCTGACTGCCCAGGTAGAGCTGATTCATTGAAGGCACTGACAGCTGCTCCATGGGTGGGATCCTGTGTGTTTACTTTTACCTGTAGACTCAGAGGACTAAAGCCAATGAAAGCTCTAATGTGTCATAACTGACAACAAAATGAAAACAATGTCATGAACCCACAAGATCATCTGACAACCTGGCAATATTGAGGTTGATTAATCTAAATCTACTGCTGTCAGCACAAATAAAAATACATTCATTGACACCCCACCTCCCCCATCCCTGATTCACATAAATGACATAAATTAAATTAGTGGAGCATTCATGCTGCATTGTGGCTGAGTTGTTGGTGTCCTGGCACCCTCAGAATCAGCCGAGTGTGATTAGGCTGATTACCTACATGGGTGAATTGACAAAACGTGTCCAAGGGAAGAAGTAGGAAATGCCTCATAAAGAATCTTTTGAGACAGACTGACAGGGCCCAGTGAGTGAGCACCAATTTATGGATGAAGGCACAAAAAAGAAAGTTCCCAGTGTTCATCGGACGCCAGTGAATCCAAAATGAACTCTTTTTATGAGGCTGACTTTGCCTCCGTGATGGCGCTTGCACAAAGCCGCCAACAAAGGGCGGCAGTAAAGGGGGAGTTGTGACAAGATAGAGGCACAAAGAGAGAATCAACTTTCACGTGGCTGAATGCAGGCAAGAGCCCAGCCCAGCTGTTTTTAATGGCGATGCATTGACAGAAGGGCAGGCTATTTTTAATCGCGTGCACTTCTTTCAGGCACACACACAAAACCCCCCTTTCACCGAGCTTTGTCAGTAACCTGCGGTGACCTGCATTCAAGGCTGCGTCAGGGTCCCTTGCACAAAAGACACTGGAAGAGAGGGGTACAGGGATGTCTGCAGCCGGATGTCCAGTCCAGAGCCTGGGATTCCCTGCTAGACCACCACAGGCCTCTAGGATGGACAATATATAGAAAAGAAAGTAGTGTAGAAACAATAACTAACAATTAATAACAAATACCACAATGGACGTAAGAAGGTGTACAGAGACATGTATAACCATACTAAGTTTATTACATTTCACACTAAATAAATGTCTCTGTAAACACACACACATACACACCCGTTGACACCCACAAAGAATGTACAAACAAGTCGGAAAACAAAGGGCTCTTGTAACAGGGCTTGGGATCTTGATGAAAAATTCAAACAATATTAAATGGGGAGTGTCAACAGCAGACACACTTCTGCTGAGGGCCCTTCAAACAGACAGAGTAACTCGGTACACACATTACGCAGCCACAGTTCAACCCCTTAGTGTAATGATGATGGCAGCTTTTAAACTGGGGCACAGCTTTTAAAACCCCTCTCCTGCAAACACTCTCCCCCAATGGGGGGTAAAAGCTGAGGTTTCTGGAAAAAAAAGAAAAGAAAAAAAAGGAGGAGCAAGGAGTCGCTGTGTCCAGGCATGTCTTATTCTTCAGATTTACCTGCCGGTGAACGTCACAGTTCACCTGGATTCCCTGTGACCCCTTCCCACCCCCGTCCTCCCCTCCCGCATTTTCTAGTGACCACTTCATCAGGAGTCGCACTCCTGAAAGATGCAGATTAAAATATCAGTGCCGAAGGATTCCAACTGTCCCCCTGCGCAGCATGGAGCAGTAATGCCTCCTGACAGGCGAGCTTTAGAGCCGAGCCTCAGATTCTTACATCCATCAGTGATCCCTCATCTCAGGGAGTCGGAAAAAGAAACAACTCACATAAATATGTGGACACTGCACACACAAGGAAAAAGTGCATGAGGAAAGGATAAAGGACCACTTAGCTAAAATATGAAGCATATGTGTCTGTGAGTTTGTAATTATTAAAAACTGTGGGAGCAAAGTGTAGCTGACGACATCTATTTCAGTGTACGTGAAAAGCAAATGAAAGTCTCTTTCCCTTGCTCTGTTCATTTTTGTACCAATTTATGAATTTATTTAAATACCGCAATTTTTTCTTAACACATTCAATGCTGTAAGACTAAAGACAGCACTGAACACATAATATGCAATATTATTAATACAATGTAAATGCATTGTTTTTCTTTGCTGTGGTTTTACTTTCAGTTAAATGTTGTTCTACATATTAGCATATTGCATGCCTAAATAAGCTTGTCTCTGGTCCTAAATACCTTCATTGATTTTGAGTGTAAACCAACACTCCTAATACCACCAGTGTCGCTCAATGTTAAAGGTAATTTAAAATCAATAATCTTAAAATTTCTATTTTCCTCTCTTGTTTTAGCATATGTGACAGAGTATGACCGTCAAGCTCCAAAAACGCTGGATTCTACAGTACCCATAATGCCCATAATAAATAGTGTCTATAATGTTTTCAGACTTCAGAGTAACAGAATACATTTGTTTTTGTTTTTGACAGGCTGAGACTTATCATAACATGTAAACAGAAGTGAATGTGTAAAATTGGTGGAGTACCCCTTTAAGGCAGTATGTGGAAAGGCCTCCTTTTCTTGAATAAGTATAAACAGCTAATCCTGAATAAAAACACAGTCATTATTAGAGCTATTTTCCATAAGTGTGTGCATCTGACTCTGCCTCAGGGTCAGTAGCTCCACCACCACCTGTAGGCAGACAACAGTGCTGACTGGGAGGAGCTCGACTAGATGTGGTCAGACACAGGAAGCTGAGACAGCAGGTGCACTGTTATCACCTCCATAGAAAGGTAATGAAGCCACATCACAATCAGCAGGAAATGAAGCAGCACAGCTGAGCCCGATAGCCTACCCTACAACATCCAACAACATTTTAAACATCTGTATGCGACTGTGTGTGATTTGGCAGTTGATAGTCGCTGATTTTCACTTCTAACTCTATGAAGCAATCAGAGAGGGCTTAACGCTTGATAAGGGAAAAATTCCCAACCTCTGTGCCTTGCAGTTGTATCCCTTTTGTTTATGAGCGGCCCATGTAGACTCAAAGTGGTGAGACATTTACGGGCGCCTGCTTTGAAGAGGAGCCAACTGCTCTCCAAGCAGTAAAAAAAGCCACCTGCCTTGCCTCACCTGCCCTTCTGTGAAGGCTGAATAAAAACTTTCAACTTCCAGTGTCAGCTAGACCCTGCCCAGTAGCTACTGTACAGTGCAGCACACCTTCAAAATCCCCCCCAAATTTTGGCTCTTGCAACAGACAGAAAAGAGGATATAAAGAAGGAGAGCTGTTTTCTTTTCAGTGTCTCCCCTTGGCTAAGTCTGGGGTAAGCCCACTAATCCTGCTTGGTGTGATGACTCACAACGGGTGTGGCCAATGTGTTCCCAAAGATATCTTTTCCACAGTCTGAATATCAATAGAAATGTTTATGTTGGCTTTGTGTATCATGTTGTGTGGCATTTAATAGTTTCTAATGGCTGCTAAACACCTCTTGTTATGTTTATATTTATATGTTTGAACCATAGAAAACAGCGAAATCAGAAAAACCTACATATCATTTCTCATTTTTGTCCCGTTTTCTTGGATGTGCGTAGTGTTGTATAAATGTGTGTGTTTCCCGATGTACGTGTGTGTTTGTGTATGTGTGAGAGGGAGAGAATGGGGCCGGTGTCCCACCTAATTGTTATTGCATCTGTGTTTGGCCTGGAGACAGTCGATAGGAATCATCAGTGAGCCTAGTGGTGGTGGTAGGGGGGTTAAGGAGGGCTGTGTCTCCCACTTCCCAGTGTC